TTATAGGATACAAAGTGATATTAAAATTTATAAATAAAATGTGGAATATTTAAATCAAGCTAGTTAACATATTCATCACCTCAAATATTTAACATTTTTTGTGGTGAGTTTCTTAAAGATAAATGTCATTCACATGTTTCCCATTCTCCAGGGCCTCAAACAGTATTGAACATGTTCCAGGCACTCCATTAGTGTAGACAGAATGCTTAAGAGAAGCTCTTGGGTCCCAGACCAGAGACTATCTGCTTCTGACTTAGACACTATTTTAACTGACTTTCCTCTTAAGAAGGCAGTTGTATGAGATGCCCCTGAGTTAGACACACCGATAGCAGTGAGAAATGGGTCCCTGCTTCCTTTAAAAAATCCCACTGAAAAAGACAGTAAATGAAGAAAAAATAAACAGGAGTGAACTCATATGATTGTAAAGAAAGGGAGATTAGATGATAATATACAAGAAATGTCAACAGAATTTTAAAGGATGGTAAGTAGGCAGATGAGAGGTAGTTGACCTGGCAAAGTTGGAATCAACAATCTTTCAGTGAGTGAAGCAAGGACGATGTCAGACAGTCTGTGATACAGAACCTGGAAAGGCTCAAGAACTGAATGCCCTGTAGAGCTGAAGGTCAGGGCACTGAATGAGTAGAAAAGGGGCACCTATCCACAAGGTGTGTTAGTAGATAAAAAGCTAGTTGAGGGGCCGGCCCGGTGGTGCACTGCGCTAGTGCGCCGCTTGGGAAGCGCGGCGGCGCTCCCGCCCGAGGGTTCGGATCCCACATACAGATCGGTTCCCGCTCACTGGCTGAGCGAGGCGCGGGAGCAACACCGAGGGTTGCAATCCCGTTGCTGGTCCCCGGTCCGGTACGGGGGCAACACTGAGGGTTGCGATCCGTTGCCGGACACGGAAAAAGACAAAAAGACAAAAAAAAAAAAAAAAAAAAAAAAAAAGCTAGTTGAGGAAAGCCACTTTGCACCCTGGAGTGGGGCTGAAAAAAGAGGACTGGTTGAAAATATGCATGAAGACCAGTTAGACAACCATCTACTCCTAGATCCCATTCCAGGTGACTCAGTCAAGTACCTCTTCTCCACCCAGTAGAAGACAGAAGGATTATTTTCTAGAAGCTAATTTGAACCAGAAGAATGATGTGCTGTAAGGACCCCAGGCACACAGATGAGGTCAGGAACAAGGCACTGAAAACAGAAGGTGTAATTGAAATTCTGTCCACTGAACAGGAAAATGTCTAGCTCCCTTTTCTTCTCACACTCAGAAGGCTTATATCTAAAGTTTTACTCACCACCTTCCTGACAGGGGTTTGGAAAATTCCTCTTTGATGAACCTGGCTGAAGTACTGACTGGCTCATAGATAATCACATTTGTAGATTCTCCAGTGAATTAGCCAAATCATCACGACATACTCTATGGCAAGGCTCACCCTTCCAGAAACACAGAGCTTCCAATCAGTTTCCTTATTCACCTTTAAGAGAAAACAGTATGTCAGTCAAATAAGGAAGAGATGATATAAAGAGCAAGATTCAAAGAATAAGAAAGTGCTCCTGAAATTATAGTAAAAATTTCTGAGAAATTAACACAAAGATTAGAACTTAAAGTAGAAGATATCTCCCAGAAAATGGAACCTGAAGAAAAGAGATTGAACCAAAGGAGAGAAAAAAAAAAAACAGAAAAGTAAGCAATTTTCTGAAAGATGAAGTATTTATTGATTCCAGGAAAAGAAAAAATTGGGCAAGAAAAAGGAAATGTAGTTAAAGTATACCAGGCTTGGAGGTGGACAATATACACGTAATTATAATAATGTACACTCTGAATATTAGTTTAACCAAAGTTACATGGAGGAGTCCATATCACTGGAGAAATCAATGGATAACATCTGAAGCTAATAAATCAAGAGATAGTAGAGAAACTTATTGTTGGGAAAATAGAACAGTTTGGTCAGGGCACTCACCTCAGGTCCAGCTGGATGTGGCTCAGCATCCTTTGTAAGCAAATTGTGTGTGTGTGTATGTGTGGCATTAGTGCTCATGTGTGCCAATGTATCTTTTTAGTTTTGTTGCTATTCTTGTGTTCTTCAGGGAGAAAGAGAGAGACAGAGAGAAGAGAGAGAGTTTGGTGAAGCAGGTGGGTGGGCATTGGCCTCGGGTGTCCACCCAGTGCAGCAGTGCTTTCCAACCTACGGCTTTCAAGGACCTTTTGGCCGGATACCTAGCTCCTAGACCTGCATAAAGGGGTCTGGTGGCCCAGCCTGGCATGTGAAGGGTTTGTGGCCCAGACTGAGCTGTGAACCTACTTGAGGGGTCTGTGGGTTCCAGACCCAGCCTTAGCTCGACAGTCGGCTCAGTTGGTACAGGATTACCAGCAGGTAAAAGAGCAACACAACTGGTGTCACGAACAGGATTAAGAACTAGACAATTGGCGCTGTGAGGATTCCAGGCCTTAGCATAGCCAGAGCAGGATCCTAGCCACCACAGTAGCCAGACACATATTTTGGGCTGCAGGGAGAGATATGCCTAAAGAAACATCCAGCGCAGTTGAAAGCTCTTGCACTGGTGAAAGGTGTGAATTGCTGCTCTTTGTTATAAGCGTTGTAGTATTTGACATTTACATGTACTGTTTTGACATAAAAATAAATAATACATTTTAAAAATCAAATACAGTAATTGAAAAATGTCAGCATGATGGAGCCATTCAGTGTTCAGATAGCCACCTGCATACAGTAGTCCCTGCAGGACATAGTGGAACAAATAGTGTTCATTTCAATGGCCCCAAGTCATCCAGAAAAGGTTTGATTCTGGTCTGCATATTCTGCTTTGGAGAAATAGGGATGTGGCTGGGATCCTTCTCCATCAAAATTCTCATGTGCTGAGAATTTCAGCATCACAGGAGGCACACTTCAGTTATTTGGGATGCAGACCATCCTACTCTCCATGTGTTGCCTAACTTGTGTCTCCCATGTATCCTCGTGCATCCAGAAGAATTGCAGGATGCTTGGCTGCAGACTGACTTGACCTGGTACAAGCTCCCATCTTCATCTATAAGTCCCATGTCTACCCGACTCTTTTCTGCCCAGCAGAGCTGACCCTCCACGCTGGTACCCACAGGCACCTTGTCCTTGGATGATTGCCTTGAGAGCGGCTAGTGAAAGTCACCAGCCCCTGAACAGTATCTTTGGAGGCAGAAATTCACCTCCCCAGACACAGAGGCTGCAGTGGTGAGTTGGATGAAGTGCAAGGGAAAAAGAAGAGGCAGAGAGGGCAGGCTGTAGCTTCTCATTAGACAGTATGTCCCCTGCTTGTTCTAATACTGCAGAGACCCCAGGGACGCTTTGCTCAGCTGTTATTTTCCTGGCGGAGTCTCAACAGGCAGAGTTACTGTAGCTTCTCATTAGACAGTATGTCCCCTGCTTGTTCTAATACTGCAGAGACCCCAGGGATGCTTTGCTCAGCTGTTATTTTCCTGGTGGAGTCTCAACAGGCAGAGTTGGAGAACAAAATAAAAATCGCACTGACCCAGCTGCCATGTGAGGCTTTTCACATTTGTTAGCTGGCTCATGCTTTTTTCCTGGCAATCTTTCTGCCATCAGGTAAATGGGAGGATTACAGCAACACATCCCAGATAAGCATGAGGGCTCAATGTAGCAAAGATTCTGTTTCCCTGGATGTTAGAATATTAGAACAATTAACACTAAACTATAATGTTTTGATATGGTAATAAAAGGAATGGGTGGTTTTATTATATTTCTTGCTGTAGATCTTCAGCAAAGTTGTTAAGAGATTTTTCCATGATAGAATTATTTGAATAATATTAAGGACAGTCAAGCAACATTCAGAGATACTGGGATTTGAAAGACAATGGTGAGCCACTGCACATAGGGAGACCCTTTCGTTTATGGAAATAGAGAATGTTGGAAATGGAAGGAATCCCTGACTCACTCTGCAGGTGGGTTGGGAAGATAAAGTGACCTGAGCAAGGTCAAGGTCATCTTCCTCCTTTCTCTCCATGTCTCCCTCTCTCCCCTTCCCACCCCCTTCCTTTTTTCCCTTCTCTCCTCCTTTCTTCTTCTTCTGTCTCTTTTACTACTGCCTCTTTCCCCTCTTCTCTTTACTCAAGCAATTACTGAGGACTTAGTGTATGCCTAACACTGGACCACATATTTTAATAATTACAGGTGCAATTTATCAATTTTAATAATGTGTGTTTTAATAATTTAATAATATCTGCACCATCATACATATAAAGAAACTGAGGCTTGGAACAATTATATAATTTGCCTCATGTTACACAACTTGCAAGTGGTAGAGTTGGGTTGGAAACTAGGCAATCTGACTTCAGAGCTGCTATGCATACCTGGCACAGGGTGAGTGCTCAGTTATGTCAGCAATGAGCCTGATGTTATTGGTGTTGGTGGGGGAGAATGGGAAGAATGAAACACAGGACAGTTAGGTGATTTGCTCAAGGTCACCCAGTAGTCAGTGGCAGTGGACTTTATCTAGTTGTCTGACTTCAGGCCACCCTTCTCTCTGCAGTGCCAGGGTGTGAATATACGAACAGAAATGTTTGTATGTTAACTTCTAGAAACATAACCTCCCATCAAGTTTCCAGGTTCTGAATTCTCACTTTACTTGAATTGTTTTGATGTTTTACATAGACCTGCTAAGCATGATCAGAGACGATGCTGAAGAAACTATTTTAGGCTAATATTTGTTTCCTTACAGGCAGTTAAAACAAAACTATGACAGTATTAGATTAAATGTACTTTTTCCCTGGCCCAATGTTAAAAATTTTTTTTTCATCAAGGGAAATTTTAGTTTTAACCACTATGTAGGGTCACACTGAATCTGTGGTTGCCTGATGTATCAGAAGTCATTGTCTCTTTTCACTCAACACTAGGTCAGTCATTCTCACGCAAAGTTAATTGGTTATTCAGGACCTGAGGGGGTCATGGGTAGTGGTTATTCATTTTAGCAGTTAACCTTAGGTGAGAGAGACCATGGCTCCAGACTGTCAGCCCATGGTGGCTGCCACTCCATCCCCGTCCTCCACTTGTGTAAGCCACCTTGGGCCTGAGTATTAGCTGCCCTGCCACTCTGCCATGTGCAGGTATGAGGCTGAGCTGACTAATCTGGTCCTTAGTCCCACCAATTTTAGAAAAAAAAAGACTGAACAGCCAACCTGCAACATTCTTACCTCCATGATTTTTTTTTTTTTTTTAACTTTCAACTTGGTACAATTGTATCGATGTTATTTTCAAGGCTTAGCTCAAGTGTTAATTCCTTCAGAAAGTGTCCTTTGCTTCTCTCATTCCACCACCTCAAGCTGTGAATAATCTCACTCTTCTGGAAAGTCCCCTGAACACTTTGTAGCTCTCTAATCCCCTTTATTGTTCTCTGCCTGGTATATTTGTGGCCATTTCATTGTCCCCATTAGAACATAAGGCTTTGAAGGCAAAGACTGAGTTTTGCCTATCTTCAGTTTCTTTACAACTTACAGGACAACAGTTTTCATGTATTTGGGACTCAGAGAATAGAGATATTGAATTTTCAGGCAGGTATATACCATGTGGGGACAAAGGTTTAGAAAGATGGAAATGACTGCCAATTCTTTTTTCAAATAATGACTAGATGATACTGACATGTTCTCTGTCAGAGATTCATACTTTAGTCTATGGCTTTAGTTTACTCCAAGTAAAGGAGAACTCCTAAACTGGGGGTTAGCAAATGCTGGCCAATAGGCTACATTTAATAAGCTGCTTGTTCTTATATCACCAGCTATAAGAATTTTTATATTTTAAATGATGGGGAGGGTGCAAAACAAAAGAAGAATGGTATGTCATGACACAAGATTATATTAGATTTTAAAGGTGAAACTAAAATCGTATGAAATTCAAATGTCAGTGTCCATGAATAAAGTATAATGGATACAGCCATACCCCTTTGTCTGTGTACTGTCTGGGGCTGTTTTTGTACCAGAAAAGCAGAGTTGAGTCATTACAACAGAGATTGTACATCCCACAAAGCCTGAAATATTTACCGAAAAAGTGTGCCACGTCCTGGTCATGCTCAAAAAATGTCTGCCGCAGTGTGAAAGAGGGAAGGGGAGCCCTTTTGATAAAAGGGGGAAGTGGATGAGGTCACAGAGTGCCTGGAGGAAAAGAAATCTGGACACAATAAAAGGAAGAAAGTGTGGGCCGGCCCCACACTTGTGGTGCACTCGGTAGAGTGTGGCACTTGGGAGCGCGGCGGCCCTCCTGCCGAGGGTTCGGATCCCATACAGAGACCGGTCCGCTCACTGGTTGAGCGTGGTGCGGGCGCGACACTGAGGGTTGCGATCCTATTGCTGGTCACAAAAAAAAGACAAAAAGGGAAAAAAAAAAAAAAGGAAGAAAGTGGAGGCAGACGCTTTCTTGGGAATACAGATCTTCGGGGTTGTGTATACATGTGCGGCCAGATCTCCATAAGAGATTCTCACAGTGAAGGGGACGCACGGACGAAGGAAGCACGCGAGACCTGGGCTAACAGTTTGCCAGAGAAGTTCTGCTTTATTCAAGGACTGCGCGTACATTTATAGAGTGCTGTGCTCCAGGGCGGGAGATAGAGTGGACGGGGTGGTAACTGATTGGACAGGGCTGGGCAGGAGGTGAGCCTTGACCTGTGACTGGCTGAGGTTTGGCACAGGTGGGCTTGGGTGTTGGCGCCAGCGAGCTTGTTTACTTCTGGGAAGAACCAGGAAGGGCGCCATATTGCCAGGGTGTGTCCCTGTTCAGGCGCCCATGGGGTCCCTACACACAGCTAGTGATCATGCCCTACAGGCAGACCCTAGGTATTTTGCACAAGCTTCTACTCTCCTTTTAAGACTCTGCATGGTTCCTTAGGAGAAAGGATGATGTTAGGAGATTGTCAATCTTTCCTGATCATTTTGCGTACCAAGGCTAATTAATATATGCATTAAGATCTAAAGGGCTCTGTATCAAGGTTGTCTCTGATTCAAGTATAATAACGTGTGTGTGTTGTAGAGAAATCTATATTGTGTGTGTGTGTGTCTGTCTGTCTGTCTGTGTGTCTTTTGGGAGGGAAATCTATTCTGGATGAATGCCAGTTATGCCCTATGTGGGGATCATTAAACATTTGGAGTTTTCAGATAAAGAAGCATCAATTGGAACCTGGCTAAAAGCAGTTGGCCCTTGAAGAGTTGGGATTACAGTTCTTTTCATGAAGAAATCTGCCAACTTCATGTGTTTGTCTTGTTTTCTTATTGCAGGGTAATGCCCTCTACTTTAAATCTGCCAGGAATGTCACAGTGAACATTCTCAATGACCAGACTAAAGTGCTAACTCAGCTGATAACAGGTAAGAAAAGGAAGAACTTAGTGCCTGGTCCATGCTAGGCACTCAGAAAATATAAACTTGAAGGTGAAATCAAGTACCATGTTGTACCAGTCCATTTTTGTTGCTTATAACAAAATACCTGAAACTGGGTGATTTATAAAGAAAAATGAAATTTATTGCTTACAGTTTCTGAGGCTGGGAAATCCGAAGTCCATCTGGTGGTGGTGACAGTGACCCAGGGGTCTCACATTGCAAGATGGTGGAAGCAGAGAGCAGCAGAGAGGAAAAGACAGACTCTACTCTTCTTTTAAAGCTCTCAGAACCATGCCCCTGACCACCATTTTTAATCCATTCACTATAGCAAGGTGCTACAATCCAATCACCTCTTCAAGGCTCCATCTTTCGATAGCCCTAATAGGATTTCCCACCCTCCTATCAGTCACACTGGGGGCTAACTTTCTAATACTTAAAACTTGGGGGATACAATTCAAGCTTCAGGGAGTTTTGGGGGTACATAATTCAATCCACTACACATGTGAACTTGAAATGAATGTTTGCTAACAAAATGACTATATTGCGAAAGAGAGTATCATTTATTTCATGATTCTACTAATGGGTGGAATCCCGTCTATATGCATATTTAACTTTTGAAACCTGATGATATATGCTCAGGAAGAAAAACCTATTTTTCATAGAACATGGCCCCTAAATACAAGCCAGCTGCTTCATCTGGTAATCAACAAAGAAAAGCTCCCTGCCCCAGTGCTGGAGGAAAAATCGGCTATGTTGGATTGATTGAATCCATACTTTATCATGGCCCCTAAATACAAGCCAGCTGCTTCATCTGGTAATCAACAAAGAAAAGCTCCCTGCCTCAGTGCTGGAGGAAAAATTGGCTATGTTGGATTGATTGAATCCATACTTTACGGGTTGTGAAAGGGATTTTTAATGACAGTTTGAATCCATGCCATATTTGCCATCCACGCTGACTTTGAACCTAACTGCATTGCAAGATGCAGATGTATCTCCACAGAATATGTTTGTGTGGCTCCTTTTAATATAGCAGATCTGTTCCTAACAGCTGCAGAAGGCACTCACTGGATTTTAAGCCTCCTATTGCCAAAATTTAAACAAGGATTTGTTATTCACAATAGTGATTGTAATGATAAACATGGGCCCCGTGGTCCTGGTAATGTGTTGAGTGCTATGATCAATGCCCCCTCTGTAGGTTATAAGCAGCAGTAAACAGGGGGGCATTATGCACCCCCACAGTGGAAGGGAAAAAGGAAAAGGTTTGAATGGCATTGTTATACTTCCAGACAGAAAATGCCATTTGTTTGGCTTCAGGGCTAAGAGAAAATATGCAGATGAACATTTTGAGAAGCCAGTTGCCCGAATGCCCTGAAACATTACTATGACTAAAATAGCTGGAGGCCCACTAATAAACAAGCCACAGGAAAACAGGTGCCTTTGTGCCCAGAGTCTTCCCTGCCGGGGAGAGAGCCTCACTCCCGTGCCACCCACCGCCAGGAGCACTGCGTAGGGTGTCTAGAGATTCACAGCCTGTGGGTGACTTGGACCATCCGCCCATGGAGGAGCCCAGGGATGGAAGGAGCCGCTGCACCGCAGAGCCCGTAATCCATAAACATGTGGTTTCAGTGCGCAACTGGATTGTTGGCCTTGCTTATATAACATCTGGCCCACAGTCACAATGCTAAATAATTAAATAAACAGCTTCAGTAAGCAATGATTTAAGCAGCATGGGTGAAAACTGCTTCCAGGAGGGAAATAAATCCAACCTCCAGCTCCCAGATTCTCACATTCAAAAGGAACTTATTCAGCCTGTTGATCATGTGCCATTTATTTGCAGTAAGAGCTTTGGTTTCCTTGAGAGATTTTGTTTTGATAAAGCTGGAACTGCCCAAATGAGTATTATTCAGCCAAAGAGTCAGGCAGTGTCTCTCTTTCCTCCACCTCCTTTTTATCCTTCCTTCCTTCTCCTCCTGTCCCTTCTCTGCCCACTCTCTCCTGACACCCCTCTTTTCCTCCCCCTGTTCCCTCTCTCCCTACCCCTCCTCTTCCACCTCCATCTGCCTCTTCCCCTCCCTCCTCCCACCATCCCATTCTGTCTCTCCTCCTCTCTCCCCCTTCTGTCTTCCTTCTTTCCCCTCCTCCTCTCTCCTCTCTTGCCTTCATCCCTCTAGTAGTCTTTCTCTTTCTGCCTCCCCTTCCCAAGTGAGGCCTTCTTGGGGACTGGAAGACACCTGCCCCTCACTCTTAAAGTAAGGCACCAAACAGCTAATACTGAAATGAGAAAGGCAGAAAGCCATTCTAACACTAGGTAACTGGAGCCTTTCATGAGGATAATAGATGCGTTAAAAATATAATGCTAAATACACACTCACCCCTAAAGTTTTCCTTCAGGGATTCTCTTTTTATATTACATTTATGCACACGGTGGAAAGCACCAAACAGCTCCTCAGACGATCCCTTCTGATGCCTGTTATACTTGCTGGTGAACTTATTGGAAAGTAAATTACTCCTGCCTTCCAAGCACTGAGGTCTACTGAGGTACTCCTGAGGATTCAAGAATTCTTCTGCTTACCTAAAGAATGTCTCAAAGCCCTTTAGAAACTCTCGTGTTAGAAGTTCAGGTCATCTTTTCCCATAAAACAATCCTTTAAATGACAGTTAAGTTCCCAAGTTAGGCCACAAATGCATATTTGGCCCCAAATGCTGCTGATTTATTATCTCAATAGTGGGTCCAAACAGGGAGCCCTCTTACCTGCCAGGAGGAGAGCAGTATGGGTGCTTTCGGCAGCATCTTATGAGGGTGGAGAAGGGTCCCAGTATCAAGGGGGGTGGGGAAAGAAATGAGGCTCGATGGCCCCCAAGCCTTGTCAGCTCCCAGACTCATGGCAGTGGCGTAACTTGGAGAGTGCTGATACATCCTGATGGGCTCCAGTTCTCCTCCCTGTTTAGGAGATTAATTAAGGAGGCACTTCATACATCACACGCAGAGGGGGAGTAATTGAAGATTAGCTTCACATTACAAATAGTGTTTTTTCCTATCCTGTAGAGGAACAATGGGTTCACCAAGGGACCTCCTAAGCAGTCTCCTGCTCCATTTGCATTTCCCTCCAGAGTCATTTTTTAAGATTCCTGTCATGTCTGGGGAAGTTCGGCAGCCCCAGGTGAAATCGACAAACGACAAGCCGTCTACAGTAATCGAGCCAGCAGTTCCTCTGTGGGGTTTTGGCTAAAACTACCAATTACTGAGCTTTAGATACCCAAATGGTTCTGGCCCCTGGTAAATTCCGTTTTGTGTTCTGTGAAGCCTTGAAAAGCAAAATAACTTAATTGTGCTTTGTGTTCTCTGATTGCTATAGTGTCTTCAGTACACTCTCCTGTGGGTCTCACAAACCATTCATGAGTTCAGAGTAAACTTGATTTATACACAGAAAAGTGTCCTTGACTCTCCAGGGGTCAAGTATGAAGATATTGCCCAGGTCCATGGCAGCAAACTCCAAGCATTTGTCTCCCCCCAGTCATCCCCTCACTTTGCCGTATTACTGGATCCAGAGTGGACAAACTGCTGACACTATGCCCATCCTGAGGTCATTCATTCATTGGCACTTTATTACCTCTGCATTCCCAATCTCCCCCCACAAAAGGTAATAACCCTAAAGTATTGACAAGTAATATAGATTTCACTGAAAGCTCCGATGCAATCAAAAAGACAGCTGCATCTTAGCCCTCACAGAAAAATCTAATCCAGATCTCTCGTTACACATCTCTGTTCTTCAGGATCTCCCTTTGGCCCTCGTCTCCAGTTTTCTACTTCCTCCTATCCTCAGAAAGCTCATCTCCTCAGTGCTCCAGATGTGTTGGCTCCAGCCCCCTTCTTTTCTAGGCAAATAAACATCCCTTTCCTCTTGTGAAACAACTCCAGGAGCTCAGTTCTGCCAATGGCTCACTCAGTGACCTTAAGAGAGCCCTGAGTCTTGCTGCTGCTTATTCTCCTCACCTACAGCAAGACGGCAGTCAGACAAGATAATGTCCAGATCCCATGATGCGTGAAACAACTCCAGGAGCTCAGTTCTGCCAATGGCTCACTCAGTGACCTTAAGAGAGCCCTAAGTCTTGCTGCTGCTTATTCTCCTCACCTACAGCAAGACGGCAGTCGGACAAGATAATGTCCAGATCCCATGATGTTTAGAAATTCTGTGCTTTCTATGTCGATTCAATCTCCTGCTCATTAAGGAGCCTTTCCAATATGCTGCTTTGTGTCAGAGGACTAGTGTGGATGTACTCGCAAGAGATGAATTCTGCCAAGTGGATGTGATTATGTGCATAAGAAGAAGTGCTTGTTGTTAATACGAAGTGTATTGAACACATTGCTGTTGAAATATGGGGATGGTGATGACCACAATGATGGCAGCCACAAGAGCAGTCTCCTATATTTCACAGCACTTTTCTGCCTACAGAGTTTTTTTTATAGGCACAATATCATTTGGTCATGAGGTAGATAGAGGAGGTGGTGGTAGACCAATTTTATAAATGCAGGAACTGAGATACAGAAAGATCAAATGATTCACCCAAAGTCACATTACCAGAAAATGAGAGGGAGTTGGGACATAATTCATGTTTTCTTATTCCTAGACCAATAGTTTTGACAAAAAGAAAAGTGACCCCAGGTGTCCAGGGGTTGGCCTGGTGCTATCACTCAAGTCTTAGCGATCTCTAGCTTGAACATATATAATTTCACAAAACATCAACACCAGACATGGCCACATAGTGTCCATGGTGGATCAAGACAAAACAAAATGCCAAAAAACAAAGACAGCTCTGATTATGCCTGAACATAGACAAAACCATAAACATCATCCACACCACAAAAAAGACCAAACATCCCCCCATCCTGGCTGGTGAGTGACTGCTATTTCCTTATTCATGACAATTTCAGCATTGCTCAGGTGTTTCCTACTTCTAGATAAGATTTATTAAGATATCCAATCTTAAAATTACTCCCACTTCCTAAAAGTATCTAATCCAGAGTAAAGCCTTGCTTGCTTCCTTAACCCCTTCCTCAAATAACCTAACTTACAGGGTCAAATTTTGTAAGTCATCCTTCATAACAGCTTCTTACTGTGGTACCCATGGTTCCCCATGGTGTGTGTTCTCCCTGCAATGAGTAATAAACCTAGTTCATTCAACTGCAGGTGTGTTTCTAGTGGCCTTTGGCTGGACGACACTGAGGACTCTTTTATTGCTACTTATTTTTAAGTGACATTCTTGAAAAATACCTAGAAGAAAACAAAAATGTTCTGTCAGAATCTCTTGGACAGTTTTGGAAAAATACAAGATTTCTGTACTCTCAAAAATTGTTCTGTAGGAATTTCTAGACCAAAAGATAAATTCCTTTTTATCGGAGCTAGATTCCTTTTTATTCAGAGGCTAGAATATGCCTCTGTGTTATTCTGATGCAATTTCTATAGACCAGCTTTTAGGTGCCACCTGAAATTGAGGTATTCAGGTAGATCCAGCTTAGATAGATTGATATATCTCCTCCTTTTAGAAATTCTCATTAACCTGTTTTACTCTTTCCATAGTTCCTAAAACTCTCTGTGGTTTTCTGGTTTGTTTATTAATAAATTGTTAAATTTGTATTGATCTGTCTCCATCAGAATATAGGTGCTGTGGGATCAGGGGCCTTGTCTTCCTTATGCATTGCTGTAATGGCACCTTCATGGACAGCATCTGTTGTCATATGATAAACCATCTAAATTTTTTTTTATTGGGTGAAATTCTACCATAAAAGATTCAACAGCTTCCAAGGCAATTAATTATAATATATTATAACAATTTCTGCCAGGAAATAATGTATATCCTGAGGAAATAGACTTTGTTGGTGTCAAATAAAGCCAGTGGGTCAAGGGTACAAAATAAGATAGATTTAAGCTGAATTTAAAGGAGCCTTTTCTGACAGTTAGGGCTGACCAAAGATATTCACTTCCTTCGAGAGGTGGTGAGCCTCCTATGCCTTGATACATTCAAGCAAAAATCTACAACTATTTGATAGTAATTTGGTGGTTAGCTGAAAGAAATCTCACTCAAGCATTAGTTTGGGGGAATGGTATGATGGTCTTTAAAATCATAGCCTGAGAGCATATGATTAAAAGTAATTGACAAGACATGGCTAAAGTCATAAGACTGATTTTCACGGTCAGCTTCTGAAAACCAATCCACTTAACATTAAAGTCCAATACAGTCTCGTCTGATGTGCATGTTCTATGACAAGCTTTTTGTAGTCAAATGCAATGAGACTAATGTATTCTCTCTTTCACCCTTCTAGGTCCAAAAGCCGTGGAGGCTTATGGCAAAAAGTTTGAGGTAAAAACCGTTTCTGGAAAATTACTTTTCTCTGCAGATGACAATGAAGTGGTAGTAGGAGCTGAGAGATTAAGAGTTTTAGGTAAGGAAACTTTAATCATTTAATTGGCTTGATGCTACTGGGTGTATTTGAGAGGAAAAGTTAAATGGTGTTCTGGACTGAATGTTTTTGTCCCCCCAAAATTCATATGTTATAATACTAACCCCCAAGATGATATGTTGGGAAGTGGGGCCTTTGATAGCTCATTAGGTCATGAGTGTGGCACCCTCATGAATGAGATTAGTACCCTTCTAAAGAGATGAAGAGACCAGAGCTCACTCTCTGCCATGTGAGGATACAATGAAAAGTTAACAGTTTGCAAGCTGGAAGAGGCCTTCCCCAGACCCAACCAGCCTGGTACTTGATCTCAAACTTCCAGCCTCCAGAACTGTCAGAAATAAATTTCTGTTGTTTATAAGCCACTTGTCTGTGGTACTTTGTTATAGCAGTACGAAGTGACTGAGACAAATGGTGTCTAGGAGAGTGATTTAGGCCAATTTCCTGGATTCTTTTAAAGCAGGACAGTTGTACCTCCCTGGAGCCTGGTTCCCTGGTGAAAATTTCTCAAGTTGTGAATTTTGGCGCATTTTCTAACACATAGCTTTGGGTGGGGATGTGTGCTCATGCAAAGAAGAATAATACAGCACATCCTGTCCTCGCAGACTGGCAATCTTGCTTGAAGCAGTCAAGACTTGTATACATGATACGGCACTTCCTAACCTGATTACAAATTAAGAATCATCTA